ACACAAGCATTAAAACAAACACATACACAAACCAACAAATCCTTGAACATAAGTAGGATTTCTTCCCATGGTGCATCATTATTCTGACATTATGTCACAGAGCAGACTCAGGTTTTCTTCACAAAGACAAAAACAGACACGTCACATCATGCCCCCCCCCCCCTATAATTACAGCCCCCCAGTGACGTCCTGTTTCTTTGTGAACAGGCTTCTTTGGCTTTTGTGTGAAAATCGAGGAAAAACTTTCTGCTGATCTGATGGAAACATGGTAACACCAACATCCAGGTCTGTTTGGAAACCAACAGGAGGAAACATCAGGAGAGCGAGACCCCGTAACGCTCATCCAATGGTCTGTTGTAATGTAGCTACAGGTTAGTACTGCTGTTCTTTCAGCCTGTACTTGTTCACATGTAGTCAAACAGTCCCATGAAACGTAGCTGAATCAGCTGTGATCAGCTCCTGCACCTAAAAACATGATGACTCTTAATTGAGTTCTGCAGCCTCTTTTTTTCTCTGATTTCTAAGTGGATTTCTGGAGGTTTATTCTGGTTGGCCATCAGAGATAATGATATACTCAGGAAGTGGAAGTCACACTGAGTCTAAAAATATGTTTATCTTGTCTGTGTTTTCAGATCTGACTGATCATGTCATTTCAGCAGAGGTAAAATGACGAGCAATGAGGTAAATTACAGGGGAGCAAAGTGAAGATTTCATTCCCCACCTCTCCCTGTGATGTTGAGAAGAGAACTTGAAGTTGCAGCAGTTGCTATTTTAGCAGAGAAGAGAAAAGAGAAGTATAAGGCAAGGAGAAAAAAAAAAGAAAAGAGTTAAAAGATTGTAGCAAAACAGGCCAAAGAAAACTATCTCCGGTCCTGGGGCAACAAAGCAAAAGGACAAAGACATTAAATGACAAATGCAAGACGGAGGAAAGGCAGTTGAGATGTCAACAGATAAAAACCCTCAGCAGAGCATTTCACAGTGACAGAAAGCACTGACACCACAGAGAGATATCCAATCACTAAAATAACCTCTCCCCCCAAGACACAGTGACTTCACGCAGTATCAGCTGCAGAGCTGAGGGCAACTCCTCAAGACACAGACATTACATCCCACAGATAAACACTCACTGTGGAGAGTCCAAACACACATACACACAGACACACACACACACACACATACACTCGAGGGAAAAGGCTGTAGATTAAGTTTGCTGAGTGTGTGCAGGGAACAGTATCAAGCATCTGAACCTGTGTCTCCTCTTAATCAGATCAGAGCTAAACATCACTCGCTGGCAGAAATCCAGCACTGATAATTAACCACACACACACACACACACACACACACACACACACACACACACACACACACACACACACACACACACACACACACTGAGAGCTGCTATCTGAGCTCAGTCCAGTGCTGACATTGAGTGACAAAGAAGACTCGTTCTCACCACAGACTACGCCTGACTGACCTCCACGCCATTTAGTGTGTTTCCACATTTTAGTGCACACTTTCAATTCACATGAAAAGCCAGACATGAGCAGCGTGTAAGCGCTACTAAAGCCTTCAATCTTACAGGGTTACGCAGCGAGCCACGGGCGGTGAGTTAAAAAAGTTCAACCATTATAAACTCTGAATGCAGAGGCGAACAGTCACGCGCATCCACCGATCACAGTGAAAACATGGAGGCGGTGGCAGAACCAGCTCGCTGTCTGAAAACACCTTTACTACAAAGGTCTCACAGTTCATGAAGCTTTGGAGAGAGGTGGGTCAGATCACAGTAACCTGCACTCTCAAACTAAATTCATTACTTTTACTTTGTGGTGGTCAGAGAGCCAAAACATCAGAATTAAAAGTAAAAGAAATTTCTTGGTCCTTTCCCAATTAGTAAAACCCAAAAGAGTCACAGAGACTGAGCTGCATGTAAAGTCTTCTCCAGTCAACTCTCTTTAACTTTAAAGGATCATCTGTGAGAAAGCTGCAGTAAACACTTCACTGTTCACTTGGTTAGGTTTGATTATATCTTAGCACTAATAGTAGTATTTCTTTTATTGTGACTGTACAGTTTGATACTGACAGATCCCTGCAGCTACACTACAGCGTGTTATAACCCAGATATCACAGGGTTAAAAATTAAACTGTTACTGGGGAAAAGGGACGAAAGCATTGAAAAATCAGTCCAGTATGACCTCCACAGACAAGACACGAATCCTCCACGCAAGGTGGTCATGGAAACGGCTTGTGTTGCCATGGCAACGGAGGAGGATGCCGTGGTGGCCAGGGCATCCCCTGTGGCGCCAGCACAACTCCAGGGCTCTTAGCCTTTTGCTGGGGCTGCATGTATCCACATCAGCAGTGACAGACACTGCTCATTTGAACACACACACACACACACACACACACACACACCCACACACACACACACACACACACACACACACCCACACACACACACACACACACACACACACACCCACACACACACACACACACACACACACACACCCACACACACACACACACACACACACACACACCCACACACACACACACACACACACACACACACCCACACACACACACACACACACACACACACACCCACACACACACACACACACACACACACACACCCACACACACACACACACACACACACACACACAGACACACACACTGGCAACATCAATGTTTTGTGCTGTTGGCCATTTATTCGGATAATTAAATAGTAACGCAACACTGATGTGTTCAGAGAGAAAATCCAGTTATGTGACACTGCTGATGTGTCGTCTCCTCACATACACCAGTGTACGTCTGCGTATTTTTACATAATGCACAGCTCAGTTGATGGATGTCTCTGTTATACATCTGCCTCCATCTCTCAGCCTGTCTCTGTTTCCCTCCAACCCTTTGTCTGTCAAGTTCAGACTCCAGTCATGGAGCCTTCAAGTTTCTCTCACACTCTGTGTGTCAACCATGTGAGAAGTCTGAGTGTTGATGGAGGAGGGGATTGTGGGTAAGTGGGAGGGGGAAAGTTATTTTTAAATGTAATGAGTTACTCATTGTTTTTTGTTTGGATTTGTGGTAAAAAAAAATGAAAATAGCTCTTTGTGAGATCTGACTGGGACTAATTCATTACACACAGAGGAAGTGGAGGTGTGCAGAACAGGACAAGGTTCGGCTCCGTAGTCCGTCATAATTAATGGTCAATCAGATGAAACTGAAATATTCTTAGAAAGTGTACGTCATTCTCATCAGTAAATACAGGCTCATCAGTGTGGTCAGTAAACGCATCACAAGGCCACAGAGTAATCAAGAGCCGACGTCAGGTAGGAGCTGCAAGATCTCTGGTACATGAGAAGTCATTTGTCCCACATGCTGAGACTCAATCTTTATTTTCATGTTGTTGTTTTTTTTTTTGCTGTGTTTTGTTTTTTAAACAGTGTTTTATTTCAATTCTGTGTATTGTAGTTTTATTACATAGTAGTAGAGTATTCATCCTGTTAAGTGTTTTAGTGAAATGTTGGATGGGCCAAAGACAATTTTTGAGTTTTGTGGACAATAAAGTTGTATTGTACTGTATTCTAATGAACGCTGGTTTCCAACCGCCGTGAACCTACATATGATTAAATGATTAAAAGGTAAACACAGAAGGTTTTCATTAAAGCACTTGTGCAGCTGTGTGCTACATTATTAGTATGGGTAATGAACTCATACCTATTCTGATTCTGGAGTCTGATGCACGTATTGTAATGTATGCGTATGTTGTTGTCAGTTTAAAAATCCCTGATGAAACAAAAGCAATGGTCAAAAGTCTGTGCCAGAGTTCTAGTAACTGACCAGTGTCTCTGATCTGCTGCTTTCCTGTCGTTCTATTCTATTTCTAGACGTCCACTTACTGAAAACACAGAGGAAAAAAAGACTCCACAATGAATGTGTCTCCAGTCAGCCTGAAGCACAACGAGTTCCAGTCTTTCACATTCAGCAAAAACTACAAAGAGAATCTCAACAAAACCTCAACAGCAAAAAAAACATACAAATCAACCATAACATTCAGCAGTGGCTGCACGAGCCTCATCACTAAGCCTGATGTAGGCGAAGATCATCCTTCACTGTACATGCGTGTACTCTGATGTCCGTTTCTGTCACACAAAGACAGCACTGCGCAAAGGATAGATGCCACTGCAGCCCTAAACAAAATTAAAGTGAAGTCTAAATCTCATTAAGAACGTAACGGGCCTGTTTCCAGACTCAGCCGAACTTCCAGCTGCATCCCTCTGAACTCAGATACAACACGACTTTTTAAGTTCTGTCACTGTTCTGATGTGAGACTCATGAAAGTTTCACTGCTTTTCTGTCTAATCCTAAAGGATTTCCTAAAGATCTTAATGTTAAAATATATATTCATATACAGTATATGTCTATTATCTTTGGGTCTCTATCAAGGAAATCCAGCTACAAAATATGGTGCAAAAATGCAGATCTCACATAAAAGCATTCTTTGTTATATGTCAAACAGTTTCACACATTTTTACTTTAAAAATTTCCGTTTTTAGGGACAATTTGTGTCAAAAACCACAAATCTGAACAGAGACATGAAACACATTAAGAACTTAATTCAAAATCTTCATGTTTTTAAGTTTTCTTCAGTATCACAGAAATACAGTGATAGTTCTCTGTACATCCATGGCTCCACTGCAAACGGCAGCTGATCGCAGCCGATTCAGCTGCTTTTAATGAGACAGTTTGCTAATATTTCAGTCTAAATAAAATCTAAATAGATCAAAATAAGAAAAGATCAAAAGAAAAACTGTACTGAGAGTGAAGGGGCACAAACCAGACAACACTTATGACACTAAGGTGAACAGTTCAGCTCACTCCAGAGCATAAATCTATAATTCAAGAAGACATTTGTTTATTGTATAACACTTATTTTTTCTTCCTGTGTATCAATGAACCAGTTTCCCCCACATCCACTGTTGTGTTTTACTCACATGCGTGCAGGGAGAAGTGTTTGCGTTCTGAGGAGCCTGTGTTTCCAGTGGCTGAAGGGATGGGCGGCGCCACAGATGACCCCAAAGACCCGACTACTGGACGGGCAGTAGAAGTGACGGCTGCTGAGGAGCTGGAGGACTCTCCCCCCTCTCCTAACAGATGCTGGATGGAGTGGAGCTGGAAACAGGGGTCAGAGAGCAGGACGGATGCAGCTCGAGATATCCTGAGAAAGGGGGGAAGGGGTGGGGGGGTTAAAGAGGAGGAGTAGGGTGGGAGGAGAAGAGGAAAGAGGACAAACTGTTAGATGAGGTGGAGCACATAATACATCTTACATTCGCTTACATCATCAAGCATTGGAGGAACATTTCACTTTCATCACCGCCATTCTGAGCCTTCTGGATGTTCCTAAATCCTGGATCAGAACTAAATGAAACCAGCCAGTTCCCCTGTTTGTGCGAGTTTTCTTTTTTTCCTGTTTATTTTCCAGTTTTTTTTTAATCTTATTTTACACTGTATATTTTTTATTATAATTTACCCAATGCACCTAATTTTGCTGGATGTTGTTGGAGGTTGTTAGTTTTTTTTAATCAAATTTTTCCTTTGCAAAGTTAAGCAAAGTTTTTTTTTTTTTTTTTAAAGCTGCTAAATAAATGCAGTTTATAATCAACAAACCTGTATTCTGGTGTAGACCAAGGCACAGCTACACATGTGGACAGAGAAACTGATTCAGATGCAAAATTCTGCAACAAATTAAACTGAGTCGTCAGCATATGGCTTATTCAGATTAGGATTTACTATCAGGCAAATCAATGGACTAGTCTGTGTGTTACAGCAGCCTGATGTTGACAGTCAGAATTTATCTTGAACTGTTGAACTGTGTTTACTATGCTTTATTTAATCCTCTAAGTGCATGTATTCCATATAAACGTCATGGAGTGATAAATATGGTGTCGAGATACAAATGTATGGGAATCTATTTGAATGTATTTCTTATAATATCTTTTCGTGAATTCATACCACGTATAAATTATATCTGCCTTGTGACTGTATTATCATGTCTGCTAAGATTTTATATCAAAAGGTATGAAAGCTTTGCATGTTCTTTGTTTTATGATTGTGAAGTTATTGATTGATCCAGCGCTGATATTAAAGTGCCTCAACTGAAAACCATCTGATTGACTCTGACTCATCTGAGAAACTTCATCTTCATCATCTCCTGCCAGATTTCGAATTTACAGATGTCAACCCAAACCACTGCATTTGACTTATGATAGATTTGACTTTTGGCATGTTGGTTGGATGTGGGAAAAGTTTGACCAATCTTAACTTTTTGTATCAGATTTTCTATCAAAGCAAAATGAACATATTTATGTTTTGGACTATTGGTCAGACATTTTTTATTTTCTGACGTTTTAAAGACAACAAAGAGATGGGTTAATCAAAAAAAATAAGAGTGAATCCAGGATGAAACTGGAAGACTTGTTCCATAAAAATGTAATATCTTTAAAAACTAAACTATGTTGTGTTGTTCAGTTCTTCTCAGAGACTAAGAAACTAATTTTCATATTACTGTTGCTGCGTCAGGATGTCTGAGTGAATGTGTGGAAACACTGCAGACAGAAAACAAACATACATGAGACAGAGCAGATGTGATCTACATTTGCCATCATCAGTCAGTGAACACTCTGGCAGCAGTGATCAGCATTAGTGTTGCCCAGCAGCAGGTGAGAGGGCCGAAGACACTGTTCACGCTGAGCAACTGAAATCTGACCAACACCGTCATCTCCATCCACTTTGTAGCTTCGCAACAGGATTTCTTCTTGGAACTGAACCAATCGAAGAATCGCTGCCTTTTTTCTATTTTCACGTCTCAGTCTCACACCACACAACCACCACCATGCAGGAGCTGTTCTCACTCTTCTTCTTCTTCTTCTTCTTCTCCTCTTCCTCCTCCTCACCTTTCCTCTCTCTCGTCTGTCTGTCTCTATCTGTCTCCTCTTGTTCTGACACATGTGAAAACCATCACTGTGTCTGTCTGTCCGATCCATCCAGCGTTCAATCACCGCTCCTCTTGCTAATGAAACTCCGCGCCTCTCCTCTCTGTTCTGTTCTCCCCTGCGGCGCCACTCATCCAACCTCTCTGCATCAATCTTTTATAGCCGGGCTTTCCACAACACCAGACTCCCACTCACTCTCTCTCTCTCTCTCTCTCTCCAGCCAAACTACTCTCTCCTTTGTCTCTCCCTCTCTCTCAGTGTGTTCATGCTCCTCTCTCTGGTTTAGTCTTCTTTTGGCTCGTTCTCTGCTCTTTCTTACTATATCTGGCCTCTTGTCAGTCACACAAACACAGACAAGAACTAAGCGTGTTTCTACTGGAGCTTTTCTTTGTTATTTACTGCAAAATCTCAAATGAAAAGCCACTTTTATATTGCAGGATCATGTGAATAAAACACACAATTAAATAATAATGAAATATACAAATAAATTATTTGAACAGTTTTCAAATGAAAAACATAAATATCTATCCCTAAATTAAATTAACGAGCAGGTTGTTAAATAAATGAGTAAGAAATGGAATATACATCTAAATGTATCCACTGATCCACTGAATAAATTAATATGTATCTCACTGTTAATTAATGTCGGCCTTTATCCCTTTATTTATCTCAGCGGCAGAGAAAAGCTCATTTCCACTGTTAGTATGAACTCAAACCTCCCTCCATGTTTACCTGTCACATCATACAATATTAACCAGTCCTCTAAAAACTCTTTGTATTTTCAACAGAATGTTTTTCATTCAATAATTATTTCCAATTGCTGCACCTTGAGCTACAATGAGCAACTCTGCTCTTTCAAATTACAAGCCCACCAGGAATGGGACAGATCTGTTGGAGGGCTTTTAATGTGAAACATCTGTGCAAGAAGTGCAGTATCAAAAAAAAGCCACTGGAAATAATGTGATCCAAACAGCGGAATTGCAGCCGTTTTCTCTCACAGCAGCCGTCTTCACTCTATCTTGATTTTATTCTTGTAATGTAGTATGACTGAAATCTCTGTGGCCTTCATTCTCTGTCGCAAAAATAATTAGTGAATGAAAACAGTGGCTCTGTAAACCAGGAGAATCACAGTTTAGGAGAAAAAGGGCAACAGATAAACATGGAGGAAGGTCTGAATTGAGTATTTTAAAACAGGGAGCTGCTGACTAAAAATGATAAAAACATGATTAAGATGAACCTGTATTAATAAAACTGTGTGTATTAGCCGATGTTAAAGAAGCGTATCAGTATCATGTGAGTCAGAAGTAAAACTGTCTCTGTGTCGTGACAGGTTAAACTGCATCAGTGGGAAAGATTTTCAGTCCGCAGAAGTTAAACTAGAGTGAAAAGTGCTGCATGTGATGTGATTGTAGTGGAAGCTCTAAAAATACCAACACTTCATACAGGAGATTGTAACAGCACAACAGCCCCCTGTCATGTTGTGCCTGCAGGTTGTAGCCAAGGAAAGAAAAGGGGTTGATTACGCACACGCACACGCACACACACTGTTTGGCAAAATATCTCCTCCTACCCACCATCTCTTTCAGCTTCAGCACAAGTGAAAGGCAAACACACACACACCTGCCCAGCCAGTTGCTCTCTGATACAAATCTATACTCTGACACTCGACTAAACAGTGTCATCAGCTGTGAGAAGAAATCACTTCATTTACCGTCCAACAATTCAGTGTCTGAACTCTTGAGTGTAAATGTGTCCAGAGGACTTTACATCTGCACTGCAGCACAAGATCAGCTCCGTTTCTTTGTGTCCATCACCTGGTGAGGATGATTGTCTTCAGTCTGTCAGCATGATGTGTTTTTCAGAGGGTTCTTGTTTTAAAATGAGTCAGCGGAGAACATTAAAATGTGTTTTCAACCAACGTGTGCTTCATCAGAAGAGGGAGAGAAAAACACAGCTATGAATGAGAAGCTGCTTTTTGTTTCCTTCTGTCTGAAGAACCTGCAGCTGTTGTAAACTGTATATGTGCCATGTGGGAACAGACTCACAGGTTAACAACAGTCAGTTCAGTGAAGAGCCAGGAGTCAGCAAACAGTCAGTCAGTTATTACACATTGACACACACAAAACGCTTTCTCTAGCCGGGTTTCGATCGCAGTTTTGCGCAAAATAGAAGTGATTTTTGTTTTGTTTTTTTTGAAAAGTCAACAGGACATAATTGTGAAAGGACTGTGACTGATGTTCTGAAATCTGGGTTTTCTCCTCTCGCGTTATAATTGCAATTAACTGTGATGACTGATTTCCAGCAGTCCTGCCTCTTGGTTGGAACTGGTTCCCTGGGGCATGACGTAAAAGTGAAAGAAGTGTTTCCATTTTGATTTGATTTTGCGAATTATTGCTGTCGGAAAAACCACCTCATGCGAGATATTATTATATTGCAAGATATATTGCAAGATAAGGTACTGTGATCATTGACCAGGATGAAAAATATCACATATGGCATGAATATTTGATATTACTGAATATCGGCTCAAGCCTAGTCTGACAACGAAGCTACAAAGTGATTTTATAACATCTACATGTGGAGCTGACAAAGTTTTGACGTGTATTCAGCTCAGTTCAGTTGAACACAGTAATTGTTCATCTTTCCTTTTCTACGCTGTCTCACTCTGAGATGCCATTTTTCATTTTCCTCCTCATCTTTTCTTCATTTGTTTCCCTCCACCGCTTTGTCCTCGTCCTCCATCCCTGCAATCCGTCCTCAGTTTTAGAGGATAATGACGGAGCTGCCCCAACTCCAACACTGGTTTCACACATGATTGAATAGGATGTAAAATCAATGATCATTTATCCTCCAGTAAAAATGTCTATTCCCATTAATTGACATCTACCTCTCTGCCAGAGTTATTAACATATAACAATGTCACAAACATCATTTGAAATACTTTTGCCAGCCGACTCCAAACAGCAGCAGTAGTGTTGGTCTGCGCTTCGTCTGCTAACTCGGTGCTGACGGCTCATGTGTGTCCTTCACAGGGTGAATCCAGAGGGACCGACGCAGAAACACGGTGACATTTTCCTGTAAAATCTCCCCTGACCTTATCATTACAGCAGCCATGACACTTCACACTGAGAGACTCTCCTCTCTCCTCCGCATCTCCTTCACCTCCCCTCCCTCCCTCCCTCCGGTTTCCATAAAGCAGCAATAAAGCGATCAGCGGCCTGATTCA